AAATTTCCACACGAGAAAATCTCAACCGTGGACACATTAAGGCAAAGATAACGTAACGACGCGAGCTGTGATTACTTTTAGGCGGAATGCATCGCGGCGTATATTAGCCGGTGAGTGAGTCGAGTTCGCGCGCACGCAACATTAAGCTCGTGCAATGCCAAAGGGATGGGAAAATGTGTACAGGCATCTTCCCGCCCGTCTGGACGGGAGATTTATCGCAGGGTGAAAGCGAAAGAAAAGTTGCGCGGTTCGACATGGCTCAGCCCCGTTCGCGAGAGAGGAAACGCAGCGGCCCGAATGGAAGGAAGCGGAGCAATCTTTTCAGCGCACCTCACGTCGTTTCAAGCGTGTTGTGGAGAAGAAAGTGCGTCGATTCGCGTTACGCACAATGGGATTCCATAGGCGTAATACTTATAGCCGAATATTTCTCTCTTAAGGCCGAAGAGGGTGTAAATGGTCGCGTGATTCTTTGACCCTCTTCGGCCAGCGAAATAGCGAGATAGCATGACATTGAGTTATAAATGTAGCATACATTTATTTTGTTTATTGCATAATGTATTTCGACATGTATTTAATATATGTAATATACTTAATACATATATTTAATACATTTAATTATTATGTATTAATAATATTTGTATTTCAATATATTTTATTATTCACAGAGAGAGAGAGAGAAACGAAGCATGAACTCATTTTTTTTAGAGAAAATATAAATTTTTATATAAATTTTATTTATAAAAAATATATTTATAGAAATTTTACTTATACGAGCCGTTCACAGGTTAAAACGATTAGCTCCACTTTTAGCGCGAATTTTTAAAAATTTTAGTGCTAAAGCATTTGACCAATTTTTTTAGTCTATGGATCACTTATATATGTATATCTTTATTCAAATTTCATTGTTATAGTTATTAGGACATTCTTTGAGAAAAAAGATGAAAAGAATATCATTTTAGTGAACTTGGAAATCGCGACACAAACACAAGTTTATTGTGTTATCTTTTATCTTGCTGGTTTAGTGGGTTAAGGGTTTTTGCTGTGCTCTTCGGGAAGAAAATTTTATGTGCTCCCTAGATAGTTACATGATTTAATGCTCGAGTGTAATCGTTGTATTATATTCACGAGCTCTGTGTACACATCAGCGGTTCTCCAGTTTACGGACCCTTCTCCGTGTCACTGTAAATCTTATTTCACCGGACGCTGATTGTACGCATTTGCATCACACACGATTATTCTACGACATTTAACTTTTATTAAATTATTTACGACTGCACTTTCTTCCGGATAAGAAAATAGCATTTTTTTATTGTAAGCTCGCGAGGAGCTTGTGAGAGCCGTTTGATACAAATCAAACATTTGAAATCTTCGTGCGACACGATGTAGAATTTTCTAAGAAAACACATTCCCCGGAGAGACATGGCTCCCGTGGCGAATTCATAACCCTCCAGCCGAGTTGTCGGTTGCGCGAGATTTATCTTTCGCGCCCGCGATCGCGCGAGAGACACTGTTATGGTTTCGGCTCTCGTAGTCGATCTAGTTTCGTGTTATTTTACATAAATCTGAAGCTACCATGTCGCGTGCGACGTCCTCGCGCTGTAATTCACGCTATACCCGGTTGCGCTAACTGAATTGCTTTCGCCAGGCTTCCTGCCAACTTTTAAGCTCGCGTGTCAAAGGCATGGCACCGACATGAGCTTCGCGTCATGCTCCAACCGCCAGTCTTTTGATCGTATTAATATGAAGATTAAATTAATTAATTAGTTGCTTCTAGATATAGTATTACGTCACTACGACCTTCAGATGATGTACGCGAGCAAAGCTGATTTATGTTCTTTCGCGTAAATTACAATTGCATGAATGCAATAAATACACTAAATTGAATTGCATTAAATACATGTGTGTATGTTGATTTATATTTTCGCATTTAGCATTATATGTGAGTTATAAATTTAAGATATTTTTTAAATTATATTCTAAACTGGCTTTTAAACGTGATGATTTGCTATGATTAGTGATTATCAGCCGTGATTAATTAATTCCCATCATAGATGATATGTAAATCGCGATGACAGCTATTTATCAAAGCAAGTTTTTCGCGTGATTTATCATCATTTTAAAATAAAAATCAAAGTGACAGGAATACGACAGAAATATCATTTTAATATAAATTGTCCTGCGATTTTTATTAATAATTGTTTCTTTAACAATTCTTTATAATCAAATATTAATTATCGTGTTGCGCTTTGTATTTCTCGTAGATTTTTGAATTTAGAGCATGATGAAATAATATATGTGAATCGCTAGATAAAAAGATTTAAGAAATTAAAAATTATGAATATATCAACAGTTTATTAGTAATGAATTTAGATTGCTGTTGCAGAGATTATATTTATTGTTAACAGAGAGTACATTCTAGAGCAATTATTATACATACATATTATAAAATAAATATACAAATAAATATTTTCGAGTTAAAATGGAAGTTCTGCAGAATTTAATATTCAAAATAATATCATCCCTTTATTTATTCCTTGCGCGATAGACTTTTTTATAGAATTAATCATGCGCATAAAATACGTGTGAAATATATTTATTATTATATAATCGATATATCACACGTTTCCATTATTTGCATCACTTGATTCGATGGTTTGCATATTAATTTACACTTTCAATCTGAAAAGAACAAATACATATTATACTTGAATTATCAAAAATTGAATTTTAAACGCTATATTCGCAATTCCAAATATATTTAATATTATCCATAAATTGTCGCAATTTATAAATTCATCCTTATCGCTTATTGTTAGATTTTTATGTCAAACTGAAATATTATGCGAAATTCTGCTTCGATAAGTAATCAACTGTCATATGTGTTATTTAGTGAAATTTGTCATGGAACATTTTGGTACATTTGGTACATTTGATACATTTTCAAATATTACTCTTTATGGAACTATAATTTTAATTCGTATGCATATTTATATAGTAATTTAAAGTAAATTCTAGAGAATAAAAGCGTGCATTATTTGTTAGCTATAGACACAGCATCGTAGATTTGCGATAGTGATTCATTTTATGTAAGTGTTGGTGTCAGTGTAACATAAGCGTAACGTTAATACGATATCAGTGCAGTGTCATTGTTAGCAACAGATATTGTGTTACCGCGACGAGTGATGTGTGAATTTGATCGCTCAATTTTTGAACGTTGTGGACAGATCGTAGCTTTATGCAATTGTAATTTCTGTGTTATTGGAATACACGTACATATATGTTCATATCATGTATAAACAATGTTGGGAGCATGATGAAAAGTTTCACACGATTGTCACAGTTTTTCAATTAGCGCGATAATTAACCATGTTTCATGTCTGCGCCTAAAATAGCAGTCAAGAATAAACATACAAAAAAAAATATCGGATGACAAAACAATTTATTAATTATATATTATAATTTATTAATTGCATATTATATATTATCTTTTAATATATTATATATTATTTTTGTGTGAAATTCAGCATTTTGATCAATCAGCATTTTCACGATGTGATTTATTTTGCAAAATTATGTAATTTAATATATGTAAAGTATTTTTATTTTATGCAATATTTAAAACACATTTATTTTAGAAAAAATAGATAATAATTATATATATATATATATATATATATATATATATATATAACTTTCACACATTATATTTAAAATTTATTTTAAATATAATTATTATTAATTTTCTTGTTTTTATTATATTTTATAATAAAGTTTAGTATATAAAAATCTTTCTTTAAATTTTACGCAACTTTCATATTAAATAATTTTCATATTAAATATATATTTATTATATAGATCAATGTTATGTCATGACTTTGTTATTATCATAAATTTATCGTTTTGCATTACCTGTATAAATTTTTATAAAGATTGATTTTAATTTTGATCATTTAAAAGCATGAAACATGATTTTTTTCAATAAATATTGTGCAATCAGTGTTAAAATGTGAAAATGTCAATCATAAGCTTTCATGCATATATTGTAGAATATCTCGGAGCTAATTATACTTTGTGTTAGCAAGAGATAGTGCACTGTGAAAATCGTACTACATTGTTGAAAAATGTCCAATATTAATATATATGATAAAACTTGTAAATTGATATACAATCTGTCATTTAATATGCAGGTTGTCGGGTATCATTACATATACTTAATTTACGTATATTTAATTGATAAAATAATGAATGGCAACATAATTATATTTCTACATAAAATTTTGCATTAAATTTTATCACTGATAATTTTGAATATTGAAAAATTATTGACGGTTTCTCTTTCTTTATTATGAATTTATATTCAAAAATTTATCGCTTTAATTACATTATGCATAATAAAACGATAAAAAGATTCCAATATTACGCAGCTGTTACATGCTTGGAAAATAAATGACATGCAATTATCAGCTATATCAAGTTGGCTGCATTATCAATTACTCTCTGGCTCTCTAGTCACTGGCTTTTAAACATCATATCGTATCTTGTAAACAAGAGTTTACAAACAATGAATTAAAAATTAACGTTTTAACAAATTAACTTCTATTATCCTGTACACAACTATCATTTTTTTTCTTTACTGACTTTAATGCAATTTTTAATATATTTTTTATTAAATTACAATTTCGATTATACTGTAAAATTGTGATAGCAGCTAAACAGTTAAGCGATAACACTAATGCAAGGAAACATATTACAGATAATGTCGATGTTGTCGTCTATTCTATCAGTTTCTATTAGACGGTGAAGTCATGCCTTATCATCGATTCCATAACGATTATCGATACGTTCTCATAGAGGATTGCAGTTGAGTTCTATTGACATGAAGTCATGAGGGAGATATAGTAGATAATTGCTCGCGTAAATTTAATAATTCTTGGAAGATAATATTTTCCATCATTTTTATTTCTCATTATTTCTCTTGTATTAGTTTATTATTTTCCTACCTTTCTTGGATGTGCGGAACGAGTCGTCTTTAGGCACATATTGTATATCGTAAACCAATGTCGTATTTGCCAGAAGAGTCTTATCCTTGTTGATCTTGTAAATGGCATACTTGAACGCCAACTCCGATGGGCTATCCTTTTGATCCTCGGTAAAAATCGCTCCTGCAACAATTTGAATAAATGTCTTCTTTAAACACGCTAAAGTCTTTTATCTCATATTCGGGATCCTATAATATTATAGTAGCTATGAATTATTAATATTATACGCACACACACATACATATATATATATATATATATATATATATATATATATATATATAACGCCGTAATTATTTTTTAAAAACGCAATAACGATATGTAATATACAGATTCATTACTTCATCAAAAGTGGTGTACATAAAAATATGACGAAATAAAAACTGTGATTGAAACTTTTAAATACACGCTTTTGATCAAAAGTAAATATATATTTAGCATTTAATATTTATTTAGCATTTAATTACATATATAATTTATTAATTTTATTTAATTAAAATTCATTCACAGTAGAAAATAACATAAAAAGGAATCAAAATTGATCAAAGTTATTCTATTCGTGAGTGTAATTTTGTTACAAAGAGACATTTATCTCATGACTCTTAATAGCAAATTTCAGCACATTCGTTAATTGCACGTTCATTTTGCCGGTGATAGAAAGTACAGAATTTTATTTCAGAATTACATTATATACTCTTGAATTGAGAGTGGACTTTTCCCGCGGGAGGAAACGCGTTCGTGTCAGAAGCAGGATAGAGTTAGTAATACGAATCCGAAAAGAAAATTTCGCTTCGCTAAAAGAAACTGAATTCATTGAAAGTTATAACCGAGTTCGTGAACTTGCAATAACGATCTCGTCCGTATCTGTCATACATATCTACATACATATACAACGTTAAGGTACCGCGCGATTCTCTCCTAAATTTAATTAATGACTTCACCACGGACGCAGCTCACTTCGAACGCGAGTTTTAATTAAATTCGAATAATTACCACGGCCAAAACCGCGCTCACGATATCAGAAAGTACTTCGGCGAAAACTACTTCTCGTAAATTAAACGTCGAATTTGCATCAGAAATAATCAACATTAAGAATTATATTTTTTGTCACATAGTGATAGATAATAAAATCATTTTATCACTTACAATTATTATAAAATCACTTCACGTATTTAATTGATTGGAAAAAATTGATGAAATTAAGTTGAAGGGTAATAAGATAATTGATGAAATTATTCTGTTAATTAATTCGCCAAATGAAATTTATCTTGTAAATATTACATTTCCTCTCAACTTTAATAGTATATCTTTCAGAGGAAGATTGAAGAAACATCGGTTCTAATAGAGCGAATGCAATTTAAGAAACTAAATAAGATCCCATTAGCGAGCGAATGAAAAATATTTATAATTATTATGCATTATTATTCAGCAATTTGCTGTCAGCAATCATGCTCGTTTTATATTTGTTTTAGAAAAATCGTAGCAATTAATATCGAATGAGTACAATTAAATATTTATTAAATAGTTTTATTTATACTGATGCACTTAAAATGTAAATATCAGTTTTGCTGCCGCTGAAAACTTTTATAAAAATATATAAGAAATAAAACGGAATAATAATACACATAATAATACACATAATTGACAGCTCTGTAATTCATCATTCTTCATTATTGCTCATTAAAAAAATTTCGGCGACATAAATTTTTGCCTATTTAAAAACAGCTTAAATGAAAACACTGTCGTTCGAAAATTATTTAATTTAAACGCATTATGTTGATTTGCTATTCTTGCGCGGCCATTTTCATAATTCTAATAGTTAACTTTATACTTTTAAACCTTCCTCGAATTGGTCGAATAAAACGCTTTTCAAAAAAATGATACATTTTTTCACATCAGCTTTATTGCGACTAATCTATCTTGAAATAATCCGACCGTTAATCCCCTGAAGCGCTCTTCGCTAGGTAACTTCAATTTCCCGACTTTATCTTGCAGCACGTGACTGCTGCAGCGTTTGAGTTTTTATACGAGTAGTCATTTCTTCTTCTATAAAAAAGACGGACTTTTTTATGAAAGGGATCAGACATTTAATTATTTTGAGTTGAAATATTTCTAAAAAACTTGTGTGCTTTCGATATTAAAAGTACCATACACATTGCTTGTGTAATAATTTAGATTGCAGTAAATATTCGATCGTAATATATTACTCATTTATAAATACAAGAAATAAAAAAATAAGATTTTAATAAAATTAAAGTTAGTCATATTTAAGTATATGATTATTAAATATAGTTTAAATATATAAATGATTTATAAAAAATATAAAGTATATTTATAGTAGAAACTTATATTATTATACGGTAACATAACTGCATAATATAAATATTACAATTAGAAATACTATTTGTTTGTGTTACAAAAGTTTTATAATTATCTCATCTCATTAAAATAATTATTAATTAAAATAAAATCGTTTAGCTATTCTAAATTCTTATTTAATTATACTATACTAGAATACTATACTAATATGAAAATGTTACATTTAATCATAATTCGTTTATGGACATGCAAATTTATCTTCGTCACGCTCGAAATTTCTAAGATAAAACTCTCCTATCAGCGAATTAATCTCCGTCATTCACCTGGAAAGAAGTCAGTGATAATTACATAAAATCAATTATCTTTTTTTAAACGACATCGTTGAATTATTTTATGTGAATATTTAAACGCGAATGTTTGTAATTCTTGACGATTTATTTTGTTCCAGATATATACAGAGTGGAATTATTTCGCAGTTTCTATAGTATTATGTATGCAGAAACATCGGTTAAATTTTTATTCTTTGGTTCAACACTTTAATTGATTAATCTGATTTTTATTAAAATTTTTATATTGCATTATTTACAAAATTTTGCATTCCTTACACAGTTTTTAATCATACATAATAGTTGTTTAATAAATTTTCTGTTCTCTTTCTTTTTCTCTCACACACTCATTTTTATATTAAGCGTTTAATTAGACAGTTGCACTGATATCGCTTTAATAATATTTGACAGAAGCTTATACTGTACTTAACACGTAGCTATGCGACGGACATTAACGTGACTATAACTAAGTTCAACCGCATTACAGCAATTGTGCATGCTCTACAACAGAGTTGCATTGTTCTCTCGAGTGCCGTGAAATAGAAGGGATAGACTAGATGTTTTAATGATTATGCCATTACAGTTAGCAACGATCAACATGAATGACTCTCTTAAGCATCATCTTTTTTTATCTTCTTTTCTCTTATATATTTTTCTCTCGTATGTCATGTCAATTCACTGCTGAAATTCGTATGTGAATCAGGAATAGTATTATATATTTAGATTTTTATAAATCGGTAAAAGATTTTTAAAGACAATTTTTATGTTTTATGGAATTTGACATGCACAAAGAATCATTTTTTGTAAAGATTCTTTTCATTTAGTTAAATGCATTTTCAAGTATTGTGATGCCGTAAACGCATAAAATATTTAATTTATATCTAGAAAATTACACGATGCAATAAATATTGTTATTAATTTACGTCTATATCTGCAAAATAATTTATTAAAATTATACATCAGAGTTTCATACATATTGGACAAAGTTTGAATAACAAATAATATTTGAAGTAATAATGAATAAGGATCAAATATATGTAATATTTAACATAATATAATGAAAATTATTGAGTGAATCAATGTTTCTCTACCATCGGCAATTTTCTAAATAATTATAGCTTGCAATATTCAGGAGATTATAGAAACTACAAATTTAATTAAATAAGATAAATATTTTAAGCAAAAGTTTATTTATTTATTTTTTATTTTATTTATAGTTATCTTTATTTCTCTGAGAAATTATTTGCGTGATATCATATATTTTATAAAAACTTTTATATTCGTGTACTTTCCAAATTATTGTCAACGAGTTTACAGTGAAGTCTCTCCTCAGGAACGTATAAGCTAACTTTTATTAAAATGGATCGCGTTTCCGATTTAAGAAAAATCGGGAAAAGCTTAAATATATTATTTGTATTTATTTCAATGCTCATTGAAAAAATAATAAGTCTGCGGAGATCATTGATGTTAAATTAATAAATTCTATAGTTTCCAAAGTAAGAAATAGTCAGAAGAGTAAAGTAAAAATCAAAAATTAAAATGAAAAATATTCAGAGAATTATAATATTAATATTAAGATTTCTTTAAATAGATTTTTATTTTTTTATATATCATTACAATATATATTTTTATAGTACATATGATTTGGTAGACAATAAAAGGCGCCTATTTATTGATTAACCGATTGATTTGTACGTTAACAAGGCTTCGAACAAAGTTATATATAGATTGCACATTCTATTAAATAATTTTCATAATATTTTTTACATATTCTTTCATAAGAAAAAACTTTTAGTATCTAATATGAGTATTTATTTGATATGAAAACTAATTTTTTGAAGTAAGTATTAATCTTATAAATGAAAATAATACATAAATAATTCATTAAACGATATGATTTTGAAAGTTTCATATATTGAAAAAATTTTTTAAAAATTTTTGTACTATATATAAAATACTATATATACAGAAAAATGTCAATAGCATATTACAAAGAGCAAATACAATTTTGTATTTGCTGCGTACCAATCGACATTGTTTTCGGTTCTCTGATATAACAGATTATTTCTATTGGATTTTCCCAGTTATTTGTGCAACTGTGGTACTTTGAATAGATCCTGCGTGTATTTGCTAATAAATTTCTCTGTAATATTTCACGAGAGTGCGGTACACCGAATAAATTACTGAAAATCCGAACGTAACGAAGGGAGCAGTTATATTTTCAAAACTGCAGAGAATGTTCATTAACATTCAGGTTTTGAATGATATTATCAGTATGTTGATTATTCTTGTTAGTTAATATCGGATTTGAGAAAGAGCCGCATGCGATTATACCATATCATCATTAATAATTATTTCATTTAATACACGGCTAAATTGTACATTGAATAAACGCTTTCAGTTAAGATTTTAACAAACTTTTTATTAAATTTATTGGCATTGAATATTCATTACACACGCTCACTCGTAGATTAAATA